GGGATAATATTTCTGACTCCTGTAAGTTATAATACTTTGCCAAATCCATGTCTAGCATGCGAATATTTAAATCAATTATCTTATTATATGTTATTAGCTAAGGACTTGATCTCCCATCTTCTTACTGTTGATCCGGAAAGAAGATATACTATAAATCAATTCTTTGATCATCCGTGGACCAAGAATGAGGTAATAATTTTTTACTTATTACTTTGATCAGGGATTCCATTATCGACAAACTCGTGTTTCTAAATTTGCCACGTTAATAATCGTCTTTTTATTTTATTTTATTTATTTATTTTTTAGCCATTTAATCCACAATCTGCACTAAAATCAAGGGATAGGCATAAGGAGCCTCTAAAAATAAAAACCTCTGTTGATTCTTCTGTATATAATGATTCAATGAATACACCTGGTGAAATGCCTCGACGTAAAGATGTAATTTCACCAGGTATTACTCTCAAAGAAGCATTCGATGTCAGTTGCGCAGTCCATCGTATGGAAGAGGAAGGTGCCAAGAGAAGGAAGATCAAGATGGGTGGTGGACAGAAAGCTGGTGCTTTGAACCCTTTTAAAACTCTAAACGCAAATTTAAATGATGACGAAGTTTCCGATGATGAAACATCTGCTTCCATGATGGAGCAAGTAAACCCTACGACGGCAAAAGAACCTATAAAGATGAAAACTGGCACAAGAAAAGGTGGTATTATATCATCTAATTCTGCTAAAAATTCTAAAGAGGGATCCAAGCGATTGAATTTTGAATTAAATATGGATAGAGCAACACTATTGGGAAGAAGGCGTAAAGTTATAGCTGAGCCTGTTGGTGTTTAATTTATTTATACTTATGATTTATTAATATTCGTTAATTTTTAAAATGTGAACTTTCCCAATTTACAAAATTCTTTATATTATGTATATATAGCGTGTTCTTGTTTAGCTTATTATTATTATTATTATCATTGTTTTTATGTGCCTTGTACTTGTATTTTACAATTGTTGGTTTCTTTAAATACATTACAACGAACAATTTTCAGACACGATTGTTGGGGCAAGTTTATGCACACTGTTGTAGGTTAGTGTTGTCTGAAGTCAATGAAAGTCAAAACTAGTAGTATTAATTGAACTTTTAGAAGTTCTGCTGGAAGCCCACTGGAAACAAAAATTGACAACATTGTTATAGGTGGATACGGAATATATATATTCATAGTCAACTTGATTCTGAATAACAAATGAATTTTAAATCCTCAAATAATTTGTTTTTAAATTTATGTTATTTATTTTAAAATTCGAATATTTGAATATTCAGTTAAACCATTTTACTAATGTTCATCGATTCCTACAGAGCCATTGTAAGGCACATGCTGATTGTATATTTTATTCAGTGCTCACATTTGTAATACCCAGGCAATTGCATTTATTAATACTGTATTTAGCAGTAGTAATTCTAATATTTGATTTTCAGTTATAAATCGTTTAGCTATTCTTTTTAAATAATATAAATGATTTTAGTATTAATAAATTTGTAAGTTTTTTTTT